ATTACTATTTTCTTAATTTTCATACTCATTTTTCCTTCAATAAAAAATTAAACCATTATTCATATTATCTATAAAGCTCCTTACAATACCTTTTTATACCATGATATTATCAAATCTACTCAATAACAACTTATAGAGTGAACAAAAAAGTTAAGAGTAAACCTGAGTGAAAGTTTCAAAATGAGAATCAGCCAAATGATGAATGGAATAAAGAAGATCCTGAGTTGGACATGGAAAGCATAGCTGTGTTAGATTATCACGCATGATATCGACATGTAATGAAACAGTCTTGAGTTGAGCTATCATTTGTTGAGGTATCTTCGTGAACAGATATCCCAAATAACCGTTTCTTTGATACAATGATGTTTCTGCAAACGAATCTTCCGTAATTTATCATAATTAATTAAGTTATATAAGATAGAAACGTGTAATTAGTGGTAGAGCAATATTATGATATTTTAACTATTAAAGATATAATATAATTAAAATTAATAAGTGACCATATCACTGTTAACATCAATGTGTTTCATTAAATAGGCAATTTATTAGTAAACTTTTCCAACTGTAAATATAAAAATCATCGATTATTTTAAACCTTTCAATAACTGCGGCACATCAGAACTACAACCCTGTAATGATCCGATATCTTTCATAATCATCATTACGTCCACAATTTTGTTACATGCTGAAATATTTTTATCAGCAAGTTAATCAGTAAGTTAATCTTTAAAGGAATATCAAGCAAGAAATTCGGATGTCAATTAAACTCTTTTCTGAAAATTTTCTTTTTTAGTAATTTTTGTTGTATTTGTATCAAAAATTTAAATTTTAATTAATACTCATTAGACGTTTATTTCAGACTAAGTGAAAAAAAAAGAAAAAAAAATAGCTAACTTATGAAAACTGTGTTCAAATTTCTTTCCAAAAAATTTCGTTTAGGTATATAGCTTTTAGTGCTGATAATATAACAATCAAGAGGATCATCGCTTATCTGCAAAAATTGTTCGATAATTAAAATTGAAAAGTTTAATCCATTAATTTTACAAAATCTTTCTAATCATCCATCTTTTCCCAAATCATTTAATAATAATATTCAATTACTTGAATCTTATTATACTGACACCAATTAGAACACAGTACGGATTTGACGTAATTCGAGCATTCCTATAATGACAAATAACACTTTAAATTATTGCAGTTGGTTAATTATCAAAATTTAAACATTTGAAATTTTTTAAATTAATGTTAATTTCATCATTAAACATTCAGTATATTCATAACAGGGTGTACAGGTAGAGAAGCATTTATCATTTGATTATGTTAATTTTTATTATCAAAATATCCTTTAAAAATGAAAATTTAAAATTTGAAATAGTAATTTTCGTATTTAATGGGGAACAAATTTTTAAACCCATTCAACAAATTGATATTAGAAGTAGCAATAATTAGTTGCTTAGAGAAATGAATACCTGAAAATGAAGGCTATCTTCGAAGGATAAATAATTATCAATTCTGATTACCAATTCCGGTGGTATACAATCATATAAAGCATTATCCGTCGATTTTTCTGATTCTAAATTCCATTCAACATTGAAATCCATCAATTTCTGCAAAATTTTATTT